GTAGCCAATTGTACACTCTCCTGTAGTGGTTCATTGAACCACAATACCGATAAGTGATTAATAAAAGTCAAAAGACCTAAGAGGTCACCTTAATATCAAAAAAAAAAAAAAAAAGCATATAAAATTGTAAAAAATGTAAATAACAAAAAAATTTACTATAATGACTAACTTCTGACCTCCAAGTAAAAGTTTTTAGAATAAGAATACATGATTGTTAATATTAGGTATATAAAGAATTTTTAATATACTACAACCTATATCTTTTTGGTTACCAGCTTGAGAATTCTTAACATTAGGAAATTTTACTAAATTAGACTTGTGATTATACTAGTTTATAAAATTTCACCTAACTAAATTTGTTCATTTTAGCTGTCTTAGTTTAATAATTCAAAATATCTATTTTCAAAGCATACACATAAGAATTAAACTATTTGTTACTTTACTAATCTACTTATTGTTATTGAGCTTTATTCTTTTTTTTTTAATACTGTTACCATAGGCAGATATTTATCTGATTGACTAATGTAAACTAATTGCCTAAGTAATTTATTTATATAGTTTAAAGTACTTGTTGAGAATGTAATGTTTTACTATCAAAAAAACACTGTAAAAACTATTTCTAACTTCAAAAAATGTCTATCATTATGCAAAAATAATCAAAAATAACTAGTAATCTCAAGAACTTTACTTAGAAATAAATATTTATTGTAGTACTAGTCATTTTGACTATATGTAAGCTCTAAATTCTGGAATTGTTAACAAAAAAATAAATTTTAAGATGTTATGTATAAGATCTAAATCAATGAACTTTGTTGATACCGTTTAGCATGTTATTATAACAAGAAGCATATATTAATTTCTTATTCTATGTATTTTTAATATTATAGAATTATCACTAATATATATATGAGTATTATTGTTTCATTAATTACATATGTTAAAAGTTATACTATATTTCTAATAATGAACATGATAATAATGATTAATTTTTTCAGAACATAATTAATAAATAAAAATAATTTCACTAATAATTTATTCACTTATTAACTCTTTAATAAGTTCAGTTTTTATAATTAATATTACATTTATCCCACTTTACACATATTTATCTGTTTTTCTAACTTTATGTGATAAATTTTTTATATGTAATTATTAGTTTGTAATCTTCTTTTAATGAAGGATTCTTTTGTCTTCTAGCAGTATTAAAATGATAAACATTTTAAAAACTATGTAATTTGATTGGTTAATTATCTCGGGCAGACTGGTTAAAATTAAATATGCTACTAAAATTTACTAAAAAATTGATAAAATTAAATAGCATTAGAAGCAAACAAAGAACTTATACTGAAAAAAATCCATCTTCTATTCCTGGTTTTGCACAACTACATTGCACAGCTACTTATATTAATTTAATTTAATTAATAATGCATTAAAAAAAATCAAAAATAAAACAAATAAGGGATCATGTGACACAAAAAAAACTATAAATACAACCCAAGTACAATAAAAAATTTTAGGAGGGGCTTAATTTAATTAATCAAGTTAATCAAATTAATCAAATAAAGCAAATTAATCTACTTATGCATATTAACATGCATAACATAACATAAATAAAATTTTTTGATGAAGATCTTTACTGTTCTAGTCAAAAAGGAAATATGGCGGATCACGAGCAAGTGCACAACCAATGACCAACAACAAATAACCTGTTTCACCTCTGATCATTCGCTTTCTGAAAAATGATCTACAGCATTCTGGTAAAGAAATATAAAAGAGGGTTAATAAAATGGGTATTTTATTAAAAATAATCACCACCTTTACTACATAATCTGACCCTAACTTTTTATTACATAAAGTACACTAGTACATTTGTCCAATAATGAACACAAAACCTTCTTCGCCATAGAACTTGACTAATACAATATAACCACTCACCAAATCTAACATGCCTCATTCGACTCAAAATTAATTCTCCTTAGTGGTTATACAACATGTCTGCTGTGGAGCAACTGACACGCTGTTTTACATTTTACAATATAAAAATTTTACAATGTAAAAATTTTACAATTTTTTAAAACATTGCCCGGTTATTAAAAACATACAAATAAAAAACTTTTTTATATTTTCAAATTTTGACTCAGCTGATTATGAAAACTAATTAATGATTTTTTATATATATTCAAAGCAGCTTTATTAGCAATATTTGTAATATTGCAATATTTTAAAAAAATCATTTGTAATTTTTGCTTTTATTGGCACTTTGCAAAACAAGTCGATATATTACTTACTTTTAATTTATATTATTTTATTAAATAGAATATACTATTATATATGCATATTATTTAATATTGCTATTTTGCATAATGTAATACAATATACTATTTATTTGCATAATGTAATACAATATACTATTTATTACTATACAATACAGTATATAAAAAAAAATTTAAATTTAATTATTTAGAAATTAAAAATTTAAAAGGAAATTATAATTTGGTGCACCTATTATACTTTAGGTAAGTATATTAGCATATAACAGGTTTTTTAGTTGAATTACATAATTTTGTATAACACACATAATCTTGTATAATACAACACATAATCTTGTGTAACTTCATAATATATATCTGTTATATAAATTATATATATCAATTATAGGTGCAAAAATATAGTAGTGCCATAACTAATCATAACATCAATTAGGCGTAACTCAATGTTGTAATGATATGTCAAAAAGTCATAACTGATATTTGCTATAACATTTAACATGATTATAATATTCAACATGTGCTGCAATATTTAATATGTGCTGTAGTATTTGATGTGTGCTGCAAGGTTTGACATATGCTATAACAATTTGTACCTCAACATTTAACTTTACATTTAATATGTGTTGTGATATTAGACTTTCACCAAATAATCTGGGTTTCCAAACATTGACATACTGTAGATTTTATTATCTTTTATTTATTCTTTCATAATGTTTTATGTGAATATATATAGCAGCAAAAAAAAAACATTATAATTTTGATTTTTTAATGCTTTTGTAAATATGCATAATAGTAAGAAAAATACATTATAAATTCTTTTTTTTTTTGATTATTCCTTATTTAATTTTTGCTATTTCATTTGGATTACAAGTTTCAATGACAGAATTCGGATCTTGATAATAGAATACTTTTTTGGGATTTTTGAGTTCAAGCTTTACTTTTCAATTTATAAATTCAAAATGTTGAGTATTTGTATTAAGACACTACAATTTGCTTTATTATTAGATAAATTTGACTGATACTTTAAAATGATTAAAATGATTAAAAGTAATTAAATTTAAATTAAATATTATAGAATAATATCATTATAAATTATCATTATCTAATCATCTAGTTCAGTATTCAAAACCGAGTCAACAAGATTTTCTGGATTAAAATCCATATTAATATTATTGCTGCTTTCAATGCTATGATTAGAGCTATGAATAAAATTTTCGTATAGTTCAATATCTCTTTCTTGGAAGATTGGGTCCCTTAAATTAACAGTTATTTCTAAAACCAAATTAGTCTAAGATAAAGTTTCATTATCATTACTTTCATATTCTTCACTTTCTTCTTCTTTACCTACAATAAAATTATTAATAGAAGCAAGTTAACCATTTCACACAATTCAGATTTAGTTAATTTAGTTTCAAAATAAGTAAGTTCATTTCATATATTTGTCAAGTAATATGATTGAATTTTTGCCATTGCTTCAAGTTTTGTAATATCAAGACATGCATATTTGTCTTCAGTAAACCTCTTTAAAATAGAAAAATTTCTTTCACAATTAGCTTGAGATGGTGAAATACTAAAGAGTCATTGTGCAAGTTCTGAGAGATGACATAGTTTGCTTTTTAATGATCCTCACTATAACATTGGAGCATCAAGACCTTGAACATAAGATAGATCAAATAGCTTTTTTTTAGCATCATAATAATGAAATAATAAAATTAGCTTTTTACATTCTTGCTCTGAATGCCCTAAATTTTTCTATAGAGTTGAGGCAATTATAGCAGCATCACGAAATGCCTCATCCTTAAGACCAATTTCTAACAAAAAAATATATAAGTATAAAAAACAATATAAAAAAAAAAAAAAAAACATTTAATTGTACTATGGTAAAGTGAATGAAGATAATAATACAAATGATAACACAGATGCTGAAACTCCATATAATATCGATTAAATATTTTAATTGTAGTAGGTTTAAGCAAGTTAGATTCAGGAATTTGGTAAACTGCAACAGCCAGTTTAATCATACAAATATAACAGTCAGCTAAAGATGCGGTACTACTTTCTAACTTATTGATATAAGCTTTTATTGGTTTTTAAATAAATCGAATTTGTCAGCACATAGTAAAAAAGTCCTCATTATGTAATAAATTGAAGATTTCAGTGTTCGTAACCATATTTGGATGCTCATCCAGAATCTATATATTATAATATAATTAATATTAGTATATACAAATTTTGAAAAATCCTGATATTCAAAATCTCAAAAACCATAATACTGACATCATGCGATGTGACAATTAAAAATTTAAGTCTGACAATAATTGTTAATGTCTTTAAATATTAATTGTTACATTGTGTGATGTCAGGTTTATAGTTTTCAAGATTTTGGGTATCAGGATTTTGTGGTAAAACTACAAATTTTATATAAAAAAGTAACACATCCAATCAAATACAGAATGTGCAACTAGTATAGATTTAGTTGTATTATATAATGATTCCCAACGAGTTTGATACCATGGTTCTAGGCCTTTGGACTTAACATCGGGAAATTTTTTTTACAGAAATTAATCAATATATAGCATTTAATCGATATATATCGTTTGAAAATTAACGAT